GCCATGGCGGGGCGGCACCTGCGCGCGATGCTGGAGGCGGGCTGCGAGGTGGACGCGCCGATGTACCGCGACGTCATCCCACCGACGAGACCGGGGCCCGAGCCGGTCCCCAGAGGAGGAGACGGTGCCGATGCCGCTGCTCGTCCTGGAGGGCCCTCGTCGCCACTGCCGGGTTCGCCTCGAAGTGCTGGAGCCTGGTCGCAACCCAGACATGCGACGCCCTGATTTTTGATGCGGGGTCCCCATGGAAGTCCCGACCCTCTCCCCGGGACCCGTTCTTCGTCCTGAGTCGTTGTTTGACGGTCCCAGGGCCCGGCGAGGGCCCCCCCGAGGCCGAAAGCTGCCAGACACCTCCCGCCCTGAGTTTTTGTTACGACGCGATCCCGTCTGGGTTCGGAGGCCCGCGCACGTCCCATGGAGCGGCCCTGGGCCACCCGGGCGGCGCGTGCCCCGTGCGGGGCTCCCCGGGGAGGGCTTCCGCTCCTCGGCACGCAGGGCCCTCGCCGGGGCGGATGGCTTCCGGGAGGCTGCCCTGCTCTTAGGGGCGGGAGAGGGGTGGGGTGTGACGGGGTGCGGTGTGCCCATGCCGAGTCTGGCGAGCTTAGTCGCCATGTTTCCACGACGCGACCATGTCTGGGAGCGCACCCCGGGAGAGGTCCCGGGAGTGGTGGTGTTGGTACCTTTGTGGTTCTCCGTGTCCGACCCCGCTCTGGGCCAGGGGAGCCCCGGACTGACCGAGTGGATACTACAAGGGGCCCTGGTGATGGGCCAATTTTCACCACCGCTACCATAGGTAGGAGAGGGAGGAGGAGGAGGAGGAGGAGGAGGAGGAGGAGGAGGAGGAGGTGGAGGAGGAGGAGGTGGAGGACCGCCTCATCCTCCCTTCTCCCCTGTCCTAAATATGGTAGTGTATACGGGAAACTTTGCCCATTAACTGGCCGGGCTGGGATGCGAGCGTATTTGATAGGCTTGGCTGATTATCTGCCGCCAGCCTAGGCTCCCTCGCTCACGACCTGAGATTTTACGCTATTTTTGGCATCTGGGGGCCCTTACCGGGCCTCCGGACCGTGAACCGGTCCCGGGGAAGGAACCGGTCCCGGGGAAGGGGTCCAGACCTTTGGGGGTCGACGCTGCACAACAAATCACAACGTCAGGGATCTGGGAGGCCAGGTCCCGTTCGGTAATTCTTGGTTGACCCAGGGCGCAGGGCCTCAGCGACCAGAGCTTGCACGACAGGGGCCCAGACACCCTCTCATCTGAGGTCTCAATCCGCGGCCCCAGTTCTCCCGACCCCTTCCCCACGGTGGTGTCGCGGCCTGGATCCGGTTTTGATGGCCCTGGGGCCCGAAAGCGGCCCCTGGAGGCCGAAACTGGGGAAAAGCGCGGCGACTGCACGAAACATGACACCCTTGGGCACCAGGCCTTCCAGAGCTGCACGCAGGGTGTGCGGCCGCGATGGGCCTCCGACTTCCGGGGAGGCCAGGGTTCCCGCACTGGGCGTCGAAATCGGAGCCTCCCAGATGGGGTCCGAGTGGATACTCCTCCTCCTCCTCCTCCTCCTCCTCCTCCTCCTCCTCATCTCCTCCTCATCTCCTCCTCATCTCCTCCTCTTTCTCCTTCTCCTCCTCCTCCTCCTCCTCCTCCTCCTCCTCCTCCTCGGGGTCGGAGGATTCCGCCCCATCGCCGATGCATCGGCGATGCGGCTCGATGTGGAACCCGACATTCTCCGCGCCGCCGGCGCCGATGCATTGCCGGCGCCGTAATCGCCGATCATCGACTCGGGACGAGCAGGCAGTCCCAGGGAAGTGGTCCAGACCTTCGGGGTCTGGGGGGCGCGTGATGCCCAGAGGCTCATCACCGGTCCCTTTTCGCACGGGGGCTGGTTCGCTGGTGTATGTCCTGTTCGCCGCTGGATGCGACCCGTTCGCCGGTGCGTGTCCTGTTCGCCGGTGTGCAGGCGTTTCGTCATGCGCCGTCAATCCGGCCCTGCTTTGGGGAACCTGGCCTTTGGTGGCGTGCGCCGTCTTGGAGGCCATGGCATCTGAGGTCTTCTTGGAAACCGTCTTGGGCGAGATGCGCAGTCTGGGCAACCTGCGATGAGGATGATGATGGCAGCGATGCTAGAGACGATTGTCAGCGATGGTGATGTGCAGTCTCCGCAACGAGCTGTGAGTGCAAGATGGAGCAGTGGAGCAGGGAATAGGGAGGCATGGGGGGCAGGAGAAAGATAGGGTGGAAGGAACAGCTGAAATCAAGGAAAAGATGAAGAGGAGGGGCACAAGGAAGATGACTAATGGTGGATGTCGCTTGCAAGACGTTGTAATTTCGACGGTTTGCTTAGACATGCAATGTCGATCTGGCCCGATCGCCGGTGCATGTCTTGTTCGCCTGTGTATGTGGGCCTGTTCGCCAGGGAATGCGACCTGTTCGCCGGTGTATGTTACTTGCGTCTACATCCATTGTACAAAAGGGGCTATGGGGTGGGTGGGGGGGCGACACATTTTGGAGTCCTGAAACGTTGCGGTGACAGACCGTGCGGTGACATCGAAATCCCCCAAGACCTCACCGCACGGTCCGTCACCGCACGGTCTTTGGACCTCGGATGCCCTAGTCGCCCGAGACATCCTCGGAGAACGACCCGAGTCCCAAAACCGTGCGGTGACCCCGAATCCCCACCGGCTCACCGCACGGTGTGGTCACCACCCCGTTTGGGGGCCCCCGACAAATGGGGGGGTCAGCGATGGCTGCAGAAAAGGGGCCCTTTCGGGCTCCTATTATGGGCACTTCAGGGGCCTTCAGGGCCCGACAAGGGCACCTTCCCCCCCCCCAATTTGTCGCCCCCCGATGAATTCACACCCGACGGGGAGGCACGCTGTGGACCCAGACATGCGACGTCCTGATTTTTGTCCATGCGCGGTCCCTGGAAGTCCCGACCCCCTCCCCGGGACTGGTTCTTCACTGACGCTCCGGAGGCCCGGTGAGGCCCCCCCCCCCCCCCAGAGGCCGCAACTAGTGGAAAACCTCCCGTCGTGATTTTTGCCACAGCGCGAGGGGGTCTGGGAACCCAGCGGGGGGCCACCCCTCGAACAAAGCCCCGGCGTGGGAGACCCTTTAGGAGCCCGCGGGGAGGCCCTGGGGCAGGGGCAGCCCGGGCGCGCGAGGCCCCGCGCGCCGCCCAGGCGGCGGGGTCCGAGCATGGTGGGGTCGGCGGGTCGCGTCGCGTCGGCGAGGCATCACCGGCGCGGCTCGATATGGAGCCCGATTGTCTTCGGCTACGCGCAGCGTGAGAGCGACCCTTTGCTGGGGTGCCCTCCTGCTCTTCCTCCTCCTCCTCCTCCTCCTGCTCCTCCTCCTCCTCCTCCCTCTCCCCTTCCTTCCCCTCCCTCTCCTCACCATCATGATCCACCTCCTCATAATCCTCCTCCTTCTCCTCCTCCCCTTCCTCGTGCTACTCTTCGCCCCCTCCTCCTCCACATCCTCGTCGTCCTCCTCCTCGCTGGGGTGACCTTGGGCGCGGGCCCAGTGCCGTAGGCGGGCTGACGGCGATGTGGGCAACGGCGATGCAGGTTTCGGTGGTGTTGGAACGCGTGGCTCGCGCTTTCCTACGATTCGCTGCGACGTTTTCGTTCGATCCATTCGCGGATTGGAACTTTAGGAAAGTGTGGTTCGTGAGTTCCTAGAAATTGGTTCTCAACATCACCGTTAAGCAACATCGCCGTTAGCCCGGCCTTGGCAGCGGGGCCCCCCGATCGCGGAGTGCGATTCGATGCCAGCGGCTTGCGCGCCTGGCGGTGTCCCCAGAGGGCCCCCCTTGGGCCGCGCACCGAAGGCCACTCTTGCCGAGGGTCACTCTCCAGACCCCCGACGTCGTGATTCTTGTCGCAACGTCGACGGTCCAAGAGGGCCGCTAGACGGCCCAAGAAGGCCCCAAGACTGCCCAAGAGGCCCCCAGACGGCCCCAAGAGAGCCCCAAGAGGGCCCCAAGAGGCGCCCAAGCGGGCCTCAGGAGGAAGGGGAGGGGGAGGAAAGGGAGGAGGAGAAGGAGAGGGAGGAGGAGGAGGAGAGGGAGGAGGAGGAGCAGGAGGAGGAGGAGGAGGAGGAGGAGGAGGAGGAGGACGACGACGAAGAGGAGGATCAGAAGGAGGAGGAGGCGGAGGCGGAGGCGGAGGAGGAGGAGGCGGAGGCGGAGGCGGTGGAGGAGGAGGAGAGGAGGAGGAGGAGGAGGAGGAGGAGGACGACGACGAAGAGGAGGAGGAGGAGGAGGAGGGGGAAGGAGGAGGAGGAGGAGGAAAAAGAGGGAGGAGGAAGAGGAGGAGGAGGCATAGGAGGAGGAGGAGGAGGAGGAGGAGGAGGAGGAGGAGGAGGATAATGATAATACTAACAGGGATGTTAATCATGATACGAATGCGAACAATAGTCGCGACGATGATAAAACTAATGGTACTACTACGTGTAGTAATAGAAATCGTAGTACTAAGAATAGTAATACGGTTACTACTAATAACAAAAGGAGGAGGATAAGGAGGAGGAGGAGGAAAAGGAATAGGAGGAGGAGGAGGAGAGGGAGGAGGAGGCCGCGATCATATTTGTACAATAATGTGCAAAGCTGGGCCAACTACAAGAAAGGAGGAAACAGAGGATGGATTGGGAACGGTGGTACAAGGAGGCAGGGAAGGATAGTGCGCAGAAGGCTTTTGCTTACCTCAGAGGCACGGAAAACCGACCTGAGGATGTAGTTCAGAGCCCAGCAGGCCGCTCATCGTCGCTGCCGAACCGCTTGTGCAAGGAATCAAATGATTGGTCGGCTGCATGGGAAGTTGGTCAGACCCCTGAAGGCCCACCAGCCAGAACAGAGTTTGCGCCGATACCAGTGCCAATGCCCACTGAGCCAGATGTGATCAAACGTACCGCAAGGAAGTTCAAGCTCAAGACTTGCAGACCTGATGGCATGCACCCGAGACATTACGCATTGATCTCGTCGGATGCTCTTCGTGCGTTAGCACTCATCTTCCATATCGCGGATGTACTAGGCACGGCGCCGACATCAATCCAAACAATTATTGTATTGCTCACCCAGAAGCCCCAAGGATGACGT